CCTGGTGACTTGTAAAAGTCAATTAACCACTGTAGGTCTTTTCCTGCCCTACCCTGCTTTCTGCAGTCATCTTAGTAACTACAAAGAGATGAATCACCTTTCTTAGTTAGCTCTGTTTCTTTGGTCAGTAATTACAATGCTGCCTTTACATCCTTTCTTCTGGCAAATAATCAGGCTGACTGGTGTATTAGATATTGATTCTTAAATGAATAAAAGAAGATCATTATGACAATGGATCAAATCATTTATTCTTGCCTCTATTTTACCTACGGAGATCATACATAAACTGTTTGCTATATGGCTCCTGCACATACTCAATCTTCACTGACAAGTGCTCAGACTGGTCTATGAGGCTGTCGTAAGAGGCCTGAGAAGTGGAAAGAAAGGAGGAGGAGGTGTCTTGGGTATGTTTTGCTAAGGACACCTCTGTAAACACCTGCAGCAGTTGGGGTCTGGGATGCATAGCAGCTCCCTCTTTGGGTCACTCCAAACAAAGCTGGACCACAGGAAGGAAACAGGACAGAGACGACTCTCTAAGATCCTTGTTATTTACTGGGAGAACAACCTGATTTCCTGACTTTGCATTCCTGAACTTCCATGTAATTTGCAGAGTTTTCTTCTTCCATTGCTTCTGTATCAGGTTTGACTCTAGTTGTTGTGGCTTTAAATAATTCTGTTGCACTAGTAATATCTCTGTCTCTCTTGAGTCAGACATCTGCTTTAGTGCTGGAGTGCTGGAGAATGTTGAATTTAGTAGAGTATTTGTTCATCCTTTAAATGTTTCTTGGACTGTTAAAAAGCAGCTATTATTATAACCTATAGAACAAGAATGCATCTTGTTTACAAATTTTAGTTGCCCTGATCCTGTGCCTCAGTGCTTTAAGTAACATCTGAATGCTCACATAATTAAGTCAATACTTCCCTGTGCTAAACAGCAAATGCCAAAATTTAGTGTTCTGGGCAACTTTTCTATTTGAGTGTGGTGGATCAAACCTGGATTGAGTAGTATGAAAAATTAGCTTTTAGTAATTTTTCTAGAGAAATCGTATAGATTTGAAGTAGTCAATAAGAATTGATGAGAGTGTGAAAATGCCGATGGAATGCAAGTGTCAGTCACAGGAGACTGCACTGTGGAACAAAAATGGATAATCAACATATGTATTATCTGTAAGAATTTCTCAAACTATGTTCCACCCATTTCACTGTGTTGTGTTCTTTGTTAGATTTGAGGTGCTTAGTCACACAGCAGCTTGGTTCAAATTCTTCAAACAGCCATGTGAAGTCATAGGTGACTTGAATTATGCTAATATTTGACAAACATTAGGCCTTTCCTCCCCAGGGCTTTGCTCTTTATCCCATGTTCCCTTCATCAAGTGTGCAGAGCATGAGCCTTTGGTGCTCTGAACTTCCATCAGCTGCAGTCTGTAGGTGCTGCTGTGTGCAGTGAACAGCAGAGGTGTTTTATAACCTTATCACAAAAGTAATGATGAATCAGTAGCTTCATGCAAGTATTCACCTGGGCTCCTTTCAGGCAAAGCACTGAAATGTGTAACCACACACCTGACAGGAGCAGCTTCAAATCTCTGTGTGGTACAGGACACAATTATTTTGCTCAGGTTTAGCAGCTTTCAAGCACCGAATTCTGAGCCTCCCCAGTCTGTAGATGACATGATGTGAAGATGTTAGAATGGAACAAATACTTCAGATGTTTCAAGACTGGAATCTTGAAAGGTTTTGTCCCCAATTAACGAGCCTGGTTTAGCAGCAGTAAAGGATATCTAGGGAATATGTAAAACATTATGTTTCTGATATGCTTCAAATTCTCTCTTTTTTTCCAGCTGGAATAGAAACTCAAAGTAGTTGTTATTCATGTCATTAATATTTTTGTAATGCACTTGAAAGGAAGCAGGTGATGGTGCTGGGGTTTTGGTATGGAATCTAGGCTTTTAAAAACCAGTGAAGTGTTTCTGTCTATGTAAGAACACACCTGGAATTGCTGGTCTGGAAATACAACGTAAGTTATGATTTATTTTTCCTCTCTCTTTTTCAGGGGAATTTTTTCTCTGCTATGATCCTCAGAAGGATTACTGGGGATTTTTGACCCCAATGACTGTGCCTAGAATCCAAGGCTTGGCAACAGTATACAATGACTCCATCTACTACATAGCTGGAACCTGTGGAAACCATCAGCGCATGTTTACCGTAGAGGCCTATGACATTGAGCAGAACAAGTGGACTCGAAAAAAAGACTTCCCCTGTGATCAGTCCATTAATCCATACATAAAACTCGTTCTTCTCAAAAACAAACTCCATCTGTTTGTCAGAGCTACTCAAGTCACTGTTGAAGAACATGTTTTCAGAACCAGCAGGAAGAATTCACTCTACCAGTACGACGAGGTCGCTGACCAGTGGCAGAAAGTGTACGAGACTCCAGACAGGCTCTGGGATCTGGGCCGGCATTTTGAATGTGTTGTTGCTAAATTGTATCCACAGTGTCTTCAGAAAGTTATTTAATTTTTTTTCTTTTCAGTAACAGGCCTTAGTGATTTCAGTGGTAATTTGATGCTAGAGAAAACACGTCTTAAAAGAAAACAAAGAAATTGTCAGTATTTATTGTAAGCTGAAACAGACAGTTTTTTGTACATGGGGATGGGTGCTCTTTAAAGGTTGCAGTCTGGGGAGGGAATTGCTGGTTCAGTTTCATATTTACTGAGATTTTCCTGGGAAATGAGAAGGAGGTTACAAAGTGCAATTATCAGCATTTTTTTTTTCTGGGAAACACTTAATCATGTCATACTCGAGGGGTGTTTTTGTGGTAGAAGCAAATTAAGTGGAAGAGCCAGGATAACTATGCACTACAGTGAAAGAAAATCTAGCATTAATAGCTAAGGATGTCCAAGATGTGTTGAAGTGACTTCTTTTTTCTTTTTTTTTTTTTTTTAATACGGGTAAAATTTGAGGCAATATCACTAAGTTTTGTTGCTTTTATTTTTTTCCATTTTAGATTGAAAGTACCTAGAGAGGAATGGTAGATCCTGATTCATAATGATTTTTTTTTGTACTGTTTTTGAAGTCTGCTAAGATGTTTGTGATGTTGTTTGTGCACTACAATTTGGGAGGAAAAACTCCAGTGAGAATTGGATTGTGGAGTACCTTTGCCCCAGATGGAGGCCTGTTCAGTTTGCTGTACCACTTCTGTCTGTGGATTTTTTTAAAAATTGAGCTTCAACATAGGAAAAAAAAAAAACCAACACCTGTTTTCTGCCACGTAGATGTAGTGCTGTAAAAACATTTTTTTTTAACACTGCTTAAAACCTGTTTTTTCATCCCATAAAGGGCTTTAACCCAAAAGTTGATGGTGCTAGTACATTTTTAATACTTGTTTGTCTGAAATGGGCCAGCCTTCTGCTACTGTTTGAGAGAGCCTGTTGTTTTTTCATGGAGTGTGTGTCTGTCTTCAGGCCCTGTCCTGTCATCACGTTGTCTTTTCTAACATAACATTTTTACTGCAGTGGTGTTCTTGCACAGAATGGTGACAGGATATGGCCTTAATAATACTGATTATCTTCTATTTTTTTTCTTTTTTTGTGTGGAGTGTTCATTCTGTCTCCACTGAAGTTCAGTGCTATGTGCAGAGTTGGCATGTGCTCTGGTGACTTGGAGAAGTGTGGCTTAACTTTACAAGTTGTTTTTTTCTCTCTGCAGTCAAGCCCTCAAATATCTTCTATCTCATTCTGATTATAATGTGAAAAATTGCACTACTGAGCAGTGTATGAAAGCAAAATTGACAGTGAGTGTCCAGGGCTTAAATAATCTTAGATGAAATACAAAAGAAGGATCCAATATTTTGCAACACTTTTTTGCGTGTAGCATTTTGCTTATTTTTAAGAAGTAAATAAGTTCAGCCTCTACTTCAGTAGTGAAAACTGGATTTAAAAGGGAAAAGATGAATTCTAAAACTTGTATCAGCTGTAATTTTCCAGGTTTGGTACAGCTCTAATTTTTGTAGAGCTATAAGTTATCTTCCTCTTCCCTAGTTTCTCCAACTGACCTGAGTAAACCAGTTAACTTGGAATGGCACTACCCATCACTGGCTGGAAGTGCTTACCATGATCTAGCTTAACAGCTGATGTGTTTCAGCCAGCCAAATATTTAGCTCATTGTTTATCCCCCTGGCATGGCTGAGGATTTGGATGATGTCTGTTTACTCTGTGGTGTGACTGTTCCCAAATGGAAACTTTCTAATACACAAACACACTCGCCTGGTTCTAGTTCTTAATTCTTGCACAAAGTATTTCATAGGAAAAGAAAACAAAAAAACTGTGAAATGAAAAGGAAAATCAAAATGCCTCTTTTCATTACATACCTCATCTTCCAGAGACTCACCAAACTCTCCTTTCAAACACAACCACCTGTGTTGGTTTTCTTTTTTTTTTTTGCCCTGAATTCGGCAATTCTTGCTACGACTGCATTTCCCAACAGTGTTGAGGTGTGTTGTTTCTTCATTTAGTTTCCTTCTGGATAGTTTTCTATATCTCCATAGCCAAGAAGAAGAGGGTTTTTTTTGAAAAAGTACAACTAATTTCATTTTTAAAATGATCCTTGGTCCTTGGCTAGCTCTCTTTGCGCTGTTGTAGGCCTCTAGCTGCAAACTTTCTGAAGCACCCTCCCTTTCCCAACAGTGTTGAGGTGTGTTGTTTCTTCATTTAGTTTCCTTCTGGATAGTTTTCTATATCTCCATAGCCAAGAAGAAGAGGGTTTTTTTTGAAAAAGTACAACTAATTTCATTTTTAAAATGATCCTTGGTCCTTGGCTAGCTCTCTTTGCGCTGTTGTAGGCCTCTAGCTGCAAACTTTCTGAAGCACCCTCCCTACCAGTGTTGCATTTGTGTGTAAGACTTTTTTTTTTTTTTTTTTTTTTGCAAAGTGTTATTTTACTTTTTTCCTTGTTTGTTTTTTTTTTTCTTTTTTCCTTTTTTTTTTTTAAGCTTGGTTGAATATTTACAAGGTTTCTTGCTGCTTTTGGACAATCTTCTATATTTATTTAGTAGAACAAATTTCAATATATTACTTGAAACTATGAAATAGAATTGAGTTTAGCAGTTGACTGGTCATGTGATGTATAGGAGTCCAATATGCTGTGGTTAATTCTGCAGTAGGTTTGTTAATTTTGTTGATCTGCACTAAAGTACGAAGATCTCCATTCTGTTTAACCATTCAAACTGAGGGTGTGATCCAAGTCTGTCATGTGTTTAAAAGCTAAATCCTGGAACTTGCCGTGGGAGTAGAATATACTAAATCTTTTGCATGAGGAGTTTGTTGAGACAGTAATTTAGCTGTGACATTTTGCCAATTCTTAAATGCTTCTACGTTTTGCTGAAAGTCAGATTCCTGGTAAAGTTTTGCTTTAGAGTCAGGCTTAAGTAAACTTGCACAGCACAAAAAAAAAAAAAGATAATTGCACCAAAGGTACTGATAATATTTGAACAGAAATCTGTACGTTGTGCCCATTTGGTATTTTTTCTGCATTCGTTTGTTTCCCTTTATTAAATGAATTTCTAGAATTGTAAGGACTTAGGTGAGTGTAAATCTGGTTGGTTTTTTTCCCCCCCCAAAATTATTAGTTCCTTTAGAAGGAAACATTTTGTAATTTCCACTTGATTCCATCAGTGAAATATAGGATAACTAAAAGCAGTTTTGGTGCACCAAACATGCAGTGTGTGTATGTTCTACAAGAGATGGAAGAGCTCCCTGTTCCCGAGGCTGTTGAAGTGGCATCCAACATTCAGTGCTCAGGTATGTTAGTAAGAAGTACTGTAGTCCTATGAGGGCAAATGTGTGGATTTTTAAACATTTTGCCATAATTGCACAATTTTGCATTTTTACTTAATGTCATGTTATGTTTCTTAAAAATAAACCTATTGTTGAAATACAGTGGAGTTCAACTGGTTTTGTGATACATCTCTTGTGTGCATTTCAGTGGAGTAAATGTCTGAAAATCAACCTGATGTTTCTTTTTGTTTGTTGAGTTCTGCACTTGTGTCTCAGCTCTGTGTGATGTCACTTGTTTTTAAGGTGCTTTGTTCTGCTTTTTTGTCTTGTTCCTTGTGGCTCTTTGGGTCTAACTTCTCATTCCTTACATGGAGGTGACTTCCCCTTGCCCTTGCCTTTACCCTTGCCCTTTTCAGCCTGGTAACACTGTGTATTGAAAACCCTTACAACACTTTGTCCTGAATTTCCCAGCGTCCTTAATGCAGAGCTGGTAGTGAGAGGGCCTCCTCTCCCCTGACTTTTAAAGCAAACCTCCAGCACTGTATGGGGTTTCTGGTGCAGTGATAGCACTTAGCACACCTCTTTGTGCATTTTGCTGGTTGTTTAGGAACCTTTGTTTCCTTTCAGAGACTGTCTAATGACCAGTGGGGATCCCAGGCCATGGCAGCCTAGGAAGACAACATGGAGGTCTCTTGCTTGGAAGATGATCCTGTTGTCTGTTGGGTTCTTCCAGGCACTCACAGGGCTTTGATCTCATTGTGATTTCAGAGACATGGTGGAATAGCTCCTGTGACTGGAATGTTGCCATGAGGGGCTATACACTGTTTGGGAATGGCAGACCAGGAAGGTGCAGTGGTGGAGTTGCCTCTCTGTGAGGCAACACTTGGAATGTGTCAAACTCTGTCTTGGATTGGGATGATGAGCAAGTGAAGAGTTTGTGGGCTCGGATCAAAGGGCTAACTAGTAAGGGTGACATGTTGTGGGTGTGTACTACAGGCTGAGCAGCAGAACTGGGCTGAGGGCTTCTACAGGCAGCTTGGAGCAGTCCCAAAGTCACCAGCTCTGGTTCTTGTGGGGGGACTTCAACTACCCAGACATCAGCTGGAGAAGCAACACAGCAAAACAAACAGCCTAGGAGGTCCCTGGAAAGCTTTGCTGACAGCTTTCTGTCACAGGTAGTGGAGGGTCCCACCAGAAATGTGTGCTGCTTGACCTCATACTAACAGACAGGGAAAGCCTTGTAGAGGTGTGAAGGTTGGGGACAGCCTTGGCTGCAGTGCCTGTGAGTTCAGTACTGGGGGAAGGGGAAGGTGGGCAGTAAGATAATGACCATGGACTTCAGGAGGAGCTAATTTAAGCCTCTTCAGGGATCTTCTTGGAAGATTCCCATGGTGGGATCAGGCCCTGCAGGGATGAGGGGTCCAAGAGAACTGGTTGATACTCAAGGATTATTTCCTCCAGGGCCAAGAAAGATGCATCCCAATGAACAAAAAATCAGGCAAAGGGGGCAAGAGACTTGTTTGGGTGAATGAGGAACACTGACATGACTCAAGCACAAGCAGGAAATACACAGGAGATGGAAGCAGGGTCAGAACTGAAGAGAGACAGGAGTGATTTGACCGTGTTCTTTGAGTCTCTAATTTTTGCTCTCGTGGCAAAGAGCATGAATTGTCCCCCAGTGCCCCAAATTACTTGGTGTCTTGTGAAATCCTCTCAATGCTTGGCATGTTTTACAATGCCAAT